TGGGATTCCAGGTGTGAGCCACTGCGTCTAGCCAAAGTTCTCCATTTCTTCTAAGGCACTTTCATGAGAAACATCTCATTTTATCTTCATAGCAAGTCATGAGGTGTAGGACAAGTGTTAGTATATAGTTAGTGTATATAGGAAATGAGAAGCTTAATGACACAACTGGTAAAATGGCTGAGCTAGGGCCTGAACTCAGAGTTCCTGCTTTCTAATTCCACACTATTACCAAATCTCCTATGCATCAAATACCGGCATATCTTATTTTCTCGTGATGAGTTTTATTGAGCTCTGTAGGTTTTGTTGTTGTTGTTGTTGTTGTTGTTTACACAAACTGAAGGCTTGTGACAACTCTGCACTGAGCATGGCTATTGGCTCAATTTTTCCAACAGTGTGTGCTCAGCGTTGTGTGTCTGTGTCACGTTTTGGTAATTCTTGCAATATTTCAAACTTTTTCATTTTTGTTTTATCTGTCATACTGACATGAACCACACCAATATCAGACGGCAAACTTAATTCATAAACGTCTGAGTTCTGACTGTTCCACTGACCGGCCATTCCCCGTCTCTTTCCCTTTGGGCCGCCTATTCCCTGACATAAAACAATATTGCAATCAGGCCAGTTAATAACACTACAACGGCCTCGAAGCGTCCAAGTGAAAGAATCATACTTTCAAGGAAAGGAAGAAATGATTAAGCATATACCAAATTAGCCAAGTTAAGTTAGTTAAGGTAGTCAAATTATGAAGGCAAAGAAAAAGTCCTTGAAGAAAATTAAAAGCGCTATTCCATTGACACATGAATGATAAGTAAAGTCAAACAGCCTCATTTCTGACATGAAGAAAGTTCTGGATAGAAGATCAAACCAGCCAAGGCCTAATTCAGAAAGCAAGGTCTCTCTCAAATTCTTTTCTTTTTTATTTTTTTTTCTAAAGACAGACTCTCTTTCTGTTATTCAGGCTGGAGTGCAATGGAGTGATCTCAGCTGACTGCAACCTCTGCCTTTTGGGTTCAAATGATTCTCCTGCCACAGCCTCCCAAATATCTGGGACTACAAGCGCCCACCACCACACCCAGCTAACTTTTGTATTTTTAGTAGAGATGGGGTTTCACCAGGTTGGCCAGGCTGGTCTCAAACACCTGATCTCAAGTGATCCAAAGAGATATTTATCTCATGTTTCTTTAACCTAAGAATATAGATCTACATAATGAGTTATATCTTCAGTGGTGTTTTTGGAATATCCAGAATGTTATTAACAATAATTACCTTTGTTTATTATGTATTTGCTATATATTAATATAATCTTAATATAAATTTTACAAATACTATGAATTTAATGCTAAAACTTTCAGCAGAGCTGAAGAGAATACTGATTTTCTAATATCTAATTCAGCAATTTTTCCATTTTCTACCATACTATCCTATAACTACTATTTATGGAAGAGAATTTGACACTGTACACACACACACCCCACACACACGAGTAAATTTTCACACTGCACCCATCATATACGCGCAAACACACATCTTTGCTAGGACCAACAATCCTAACGAAACAGAAAATGAGTCCTTTCAGTAAAGAAAAATGATCCCATTAAGTTATTAAACACATAGCCTCTGTCTAACTGATCATTTAGTATATTTTGGGTTGGTTATCCTTGTATATTTCTCATGGTCCATCATGTCATAATTCTAAGCTACATGATCACTCTTTCAATCACTGTGCATCAGTTAATGAAGCCAATACAAAAAATAAAATTGAGCCTGCAAGGAAATCAAGTCTGAGATTTCAATTAATACCAACCAGTAAAATTCTGTATCAATATACCAAAAAATAGAATTTATTCCTATTCTCCTTTTATGTTAGCTCTAAATATTAATAATAATTCCCTTAGGTACATCAAACTGTATCTACTGGATTAAAAAAAAAAAAAAACTCAGGGTTATAGTAATATCACCAGCTTTCACTCCATCAGAAAGAGCATTAACAACGTTGGCACACACACATAGAACACAGAGAAACACACGACCTTTTTTTCTTTTAGTTACCTGACCAATCTGAATAAACACATTAATACGCTATTAATAGGTTAGTCTCTTACTTCAAATCAACTATCGAAAATGCATAAAAATTGAAGGGTCCCAACCAAGTGCTTTATTCAGGAGATCATGGTGCTTATAGCAATGCCCCAGTTGTAAGCCTTCCTCAGCTCTGGGTAGGTCAAAAGTGGTTCTTAAAATGTGATTTCCAGAGAAATTCTGATTTAGTAGATGGACGTAGGACCCAGTAATTTGCATTTAAAACAAGAACTTGTTTTAAATGCAAATTACTGGGTCCTACGTCCATCTACTAAATCAGAATTTCTGGGAGGGGGGCCCAATGTTCATGGTCTGATGAACACTTTTAAAAAACAATTTCCCACATCACCTGGGAACTTGTTTTAAATGCAAATTACTGGGTCCTACGTCCATCTACTAAATCAGAATCTCTGGGAGGGGGGCCCAGTGTTCGTGATCTGATGAGCTCTCCAGGTGATTCAGATGCTCCTTAAAGTTGGAGAACTGAACTAAATGAAAGGGTCCTCAAATTTTTTTTCTTTTGCTGCCTCAGTTCATTCCTAACTCGTAACTTCATACTTAATTAATCAGCTTCTGCTACTCATCATAAATCTACTCACTGGAACTGCCCTCAAGCGTGGCTGTGTAAGTGAGGATGCTCCATCAATCATCACTGCCTTGACTCACACAAAAAAGCATCTGTGGATTCCCTGCCCCATCCTCAACCTTGGCTGTTCTTGGCTCAGCTGCAGCTGCTACACACAATGGTGATTGCAGCTTTCATTCAACCAGCCATCAAGACTGGTCGACTCACTGAATAATTGGTCACGTTCTTCTCCACAAACCACCTGCATGGGTGTGCGCACGGTCCTCACGTTGCCCATGCCACACCCTCTCTGCCAACTTGCACATGACCCTGCTGCTCATGGCTGCTGAGGTTGCTCCCTACAAATGTTTTGTGCCTTGTTTAATCCGGGATGGTGGGCTTTGGCTCCACATGACCCTCTGTCCACTTCCGCAGCGGATGCTGGATTGTGACACTGTACTCCAGCTTGGGCAACAGAGTGACACCCTGTCTCAAAAAGAAAGAAGGAACCAGAGGGCAGCTGTGCTTTTTGTTTCGAGACAGAGTCTCACTCTGTTGCCAGGCTGGAGTGCAGTGGCGTGATCTCCGCTCACTGCAACCTCCGCCTCCCGGGTTCAAGCAATTCTCCTGCCTCAGCCTCCCAAGTAGCTGGGACTATAGGCGCGCACCATGCCTGGCTAATTTTTTTGTAATTTTAGTAGAGACAGTGTTTCACCATGTTGGCCAAGATGGTCTCAATCTCTTGACCCCGTGATCCACCCACCTCCGCCTCCCAAAGTGCTGGGATTACACCGCGCCCGGCCAAGCAGCTGTGTTTTTAACAGGTGTTCGCACTAGAGGGAAATGAGGAAGCCCTGGTATCCTGAAAACTGTCTCATGTTTTTCTTAGCACTTAACACTAACTTCCACTTGATTGGATCCTTTCTCTCTGTCTTCTCAAGTCATATTGCTATATTTGGGCATATCTAAAGATAATTAGGTAAGTAAATCAGAACCGTGGCTGTCAGTACTCATTTAGTTCATTGTAATATGGACATGTGTAAATGTAAATTATCTAGAAGATTCCAATAAATTCTGGACAACTTATATCTTATAATAATGAAACCCTATTTGTAATATGTCCCATATTTCTTTTTTTTTTTTTTTTTTGGACACAGAGTCTTGCTCTGTTGCCAGGCTGGAACGCAGTGGCATAGTCTCAGCTCACTGCAAACTCCGCCTCCCGGGTTCAAGTGATCCTTCCACCTCAGCCTCCCAAGTAGCTGGGACTACAGGCGTGTGCCACCATGCCCAGCTCATTTTTGTATTTTTAGTAGAGACAGGGTTTTACCACATTGGCCAGGATGGTCTTGATCGCTTGACCTCGTGATCCGCCTGCCTCGGCCTCCCAAAGTGCTGGGATTACAGGCGTGAGCCACCGCGCTCGGCCATATGTCCCATATTTCAAATGTGGATTGCTTCTCTTATATTTTACAATATTGAAGAATATTTTCATCCTACGTATTTCTATTACTAAAATGCTCAACTAGTGAGCCCATTTGGCTGTGGACCTGTCAATCACCACTGCATTGGTATACGAGTTACAGGCCATATGGATCTCTTCTACTTTCATATCAAAATACGGAGTGAATGATTGAATACCGTTTCTAAAAATGCTCTTACAGGAGTCTCATGGATGAAGCTACTTTTGGCTATCTCTGTTTCCAGCCTCACCCCTCCACTAAAGAATGACTCTGCCAGTCTGAAAATGACTGGCAGGCAATGCTGCCTTGGAAAAGCTAACAAGGAATAGTGAGTTCGGTGGACACTCATAGATCGAGAAAGACTCCCTGACCTAATTCATACCAGCTACAATTTGCTGCCTTCTCTATAACCAGAAAAACAGTCTGGGGATCTGCATCACCAGACTCAAAGACTCCTCAGGACACGCGCCTGGGCTGTCATTCCCAGTGAGCAGCGTCCTGAGCCAACACCACTGTCAGGTGGAGTTAGTGCTGACACACAGCATTACAGCCAACCGTTCTCCACGTTGTATAAACCAGGTAATGCAGGGAGGAAGTGCTAAGGTCACTGTGTTTTTTAAACACCTTTGCAGAAATAGTAAGGCCAATTCCCAAGTCCGCGATACATACAAAACTTAATTCTCAAGAAACAACGAAAAGAGAGAAAAGCTCATCTCAGAACAAGTTAGCTGTCATTTCACTAAAAAAGACAGAAAAGTTGCTAGCTCAGTATTATGTATTTCATGCTTAACACAACTCCTCTGATTAAAGCAAAATGTTATTCCCTCTGCTATGGAGAGAACACTCTTATTTCTCCTTCTGGCAAGCCTCTCACAGGGAATTTGTTTGTTTACCTCCTTCAGATCCTGCACGACCGCGGTGAGCCTCTCATTTTCTGCCTGTACATTAGTGACCACAGCCCGGCTCTGTTTCAGCTCGTTCTGCATCTCCAAGATCTTCCCCAGATAGTAAGCCTCCTTCGATGCTGACTCCTGCAGAAGCGTTTCCTCCCGCGTCTCTCCATCCTCAGCAACCTTCCGGTGGATGGAGAAGGACTGCCCAAAAGCCTGCAGAGCAGGTGGAAAGAAGAAGAATGCATCAAAGCCCTATTAAAACACTCGGGAAAATGTTTCCTTCTGCTTGTATGTGTAAGAAAAGCTACTCTGCGAGACCCCCAAAATAGAGCAGTCTAGCAGCCCTCATTGAAGCTTGAAATAATTCAGTTCACTTAATAAGTAAAAAGAAAACTTGAAAATATCGTGCGAAAAAAATGTGTAATGCATTAAAGAAAACTTGAAAAAAGTGCTGCTTGCTTTATAGTCTCATTTTTTTAGACAACTCTTATCAAGAAGTAGTTCAGTGCTAATAAGCCCATCAAAATTGTCATCTTCATTTATTTATTTATTTGAGACGGAGTCTCGCTCTGTCGCCAGGCTGGAGTGCATGTGTTGGGAAAAGCAGCAAAGGAGAAAGGACTTACAGAGTGCCTACATAAATTGGTTATGAGTAACACATAAACAAGGAACAACAAACTGCGGAGGGCCGCAGGAGGCCTCTGAGGAGGAAGGCGTCTATATGCCTCATGTTCCCGTGCAGGCTGACATCGGCTCTGTTACCATGAACATTGTGCTCAAGGATGTAAAACCCCTTCGTAGCACTATGACGTCACCAGGCCTGTAGGCTCCTTGTAAGGCCCAAGTTCCACCAGCTGCACATAAATATTAAGTTAAAGATAACCACGTTCTTGTTTTGTGAAACTCCCAAACGGCCACTGTTATCAATCTTTACAATGACGCACCGGCTCCAGCTCACTGATTCACTCCACCATCACTCCACCCCTACCCTGTAGATCAAAGTGAATGTAACCAGTAAATAGTGTTGATGGTCAGAGTTCAGGGCCGTCACTGTCTTCTCCAAAGTAATAAAGTGATGGCCCCCTGGTCCTACTTTCTCTCTTAATCTTTTTCTCATTCCTTTGTCCCACCGAACTCGGGGTACCCACAGGTGATGTAGGGCTGCTTCCCTAAACAATGGCGTGACTTCAGCTCACTGCAACCTCCGCCTCCCGGGTTCAAGTGATTCTCCTGCCTCAGCCTCCCGAGTAGCTGAGATTACAGGCATGCGCCACCACATCCAGCTCATTTTTTGTATTTTTAGTAGAGACAGAGTTTCACCATGTTGGCCAGGATGGTCTCAATCTCTTGACCTCGTGATCCGCCCACCTCGGCCTCCCAAAGTGCTGGGATTACAAGCTTAAACCACTGCGCCTGGCCTGCCATCTTCATTTTTTAAAAAACTCACAAATATTTTACAAAAAAACAAAGACACCCAATCATTTAGTGTGCTTTCTAATACACTGGCAGTAAGGACAGACCAATTATAAACAGTATTCTTAAGAGTTAAAATGACCAAACAGAAGCTGGGCGCGGTGGCTCAAGCCTGTAATCCCAGCACTTTGGGAGGCCGAGGCGGGTGGATCACGAGGTCAAGAGATCGAGACCATCCTGGTCAACATGGTGAAACCCCGTCTCTACTAATGGTGCAAAAAATTAGCTGAGCATGGTGGCGCGTGCCTGTAATCCCAGCTACTCCGGAGGCTGAGGCAGGAGAATTGCCTGAACCCAGGAGGCGGAGGTTGCAGTGAGCTGAGATCGCGCCATTGCACTCCAGCCTGGGTAACAAGGGCGAAACTCCATCTCAAAAAAAAAAAAAAAATGACCAAACAGCATTCAAATTGCCCAGTACCACAAAAACAGACACTGAATATCATCTCCATATAAGAAAACATATACGTGTCTGTTTATCTGGGCAAAAAGAAATACAGAAGAAAAAGTAGAAACTAATTGAACTGGTTACTTACAGGGTGGGTGAGAATGGGGTGGGAAGAATGGGAGACTGAAATGAATGGGAGACAGAAGGATGTGGAGGAATGACACTTTTCTGAAATGCCTTTTCACATAGTTCCTTTTTCTTTTTTAGACAGAGTCTAGATCTGTTGCCCACAATACAGTGCAATGGCGCGATCTCGGCTCACTGCAACCTCTACCTCCTGTGTTCAGGCGATTCTCCTGCTTCAGCCTCCCGTGTAGCTGGGATTACAGGCACCTGCCGCCACGTCCAGCTAATTTTTGTCCTTTTAGTAGAGAAGAAGTTTCACCATGTTAGCCAGGCTGGTCTCAAACTCCTGACCTCAAGTGATCCAACCATCTCAGCCTCCCAAAGTACTGAGATTACAGGCATGAGCCACTGTGCCCAGCCCCTTTTCACATAGTTCTGACTCTTAAAACTATAGTCATGTTTCACCTCGCCCAAATAAATATTAAAACCAACTTCTCGGTGTTGGGGGAACCCAGAATGGAACACGAACAGTAACAAAAGAACCTAGCTATATTACAAAACGAAAAACAACAGTCATCATGAAAGAGGTAAGAAAGAAAATACCTAACCTAGTTTTGGAAACCAGTACTTTTATTATATACCTTAAGACTAAAGACAAAAAGGACTGTAACTGAACGCTATATAATCTTGTTAGTAAACTTGTTTCTCATAGAGATTATGGGATCACAATTCTGAAACTTTTTTACATATGTACTAGAGTTGAGCAAATAAGTAAATATATTGTAGATAATGAATGCCTGTTTTCTAACTGTTGGAGAAAAAGCCACAAGGAGAAAGAGGTATTAAAAAAAAACAAAACTGTGATATTGAGTTGTAAGTGGAATAAAAACAATAAACTTATTGTTTTTAATAGGTACATATTCATAGGTATACAGATATGGAGAGAGAGGGAGAAACACGTTCTGTGTGTGTATATACATATACATTATTTCCCAGCTCTGTAAGCTGAGAGGGCCTAGAAGCAATGATATACCAGTGGCAATGAGCACATCAAGCACCCAGATTGTGTTTCTAAATACCAATCTCCAATAAAAAGAACTAGGGTCTTTGGAGAAGGGACTGATTCAAGGGCTGGAGCAAAGTAACCCTGACACATCTTGTGATGCCAAAGAGTTACAAAATGCTTTAAAAAAAAAATGATGGGGATACGTAAGGCTGGGCGCAGTGGCTCATGCCTGTTATCCCAGCACTTTGGGAGGCCGAGGCAGGTAGATGACAAGGTCAGGCGATTGAGACCAGCCTGGCTAACATGGTGAACCCCATCTCTACCAAAAATACAAAAAAAAATTAGTTGGGCGTGGCAGTGCACACCTATAATCACAGCTACTTGGGAAGCTGAGGCAGGAGAATCACTTGAATCTGGGAGGCAGGGGTTGCAGTGAGCCGAGATCACACCATTGCACTCCAGCCAGGGCAACAGAGCAAGATTCCAGCTCAAAAAAAAAAAAGTACTAAGTAGCAAAAATTATAGAAAGACCCTTCTGGACTAGATGACTAACAACACATGACAATTAAGTGCTGTATTGGATTCTGGGTTGGATCCTGAACTTTTAAAAAGGACACTAGTAGGATAATTGGCAAACTGAAATAAGTTCTTTAGGTTAGTCAGTGATGCTACTGTATCAATGTCAATTTATGTTTCCCTTGCTGTGCTATGGTTATGTAAGATGGTAACATCTGGGGAAGCTATATCAAGGGTACATGAAAATCAGTGTAGTATTTTTGGGCAACTCTTTTCTAACTCTCAAGTTATTTCAAACAAAAAGTCAAAAAGTAAAGAAATGTAGTCTCTGCCTTAAAAGAGTTGATAGATTTGGTAAAATACTGGCACACAGAGTCAACGTAAGAACATAAGGATATGAACACCAAGGAGATACTACATTCAATGAGAAGTACTGTGGCTTTCTGGCATAAGTTGTGATTTTACTAACGGGCCAAGTGTAGCGGCTCACACCAGTAATCCCAGCACTCTAGGAGGTAGAGACGGGTAGATCTACCCAGAATAGATTTTCAAAAAAGAATCAAGAAATGAAATTGCAAATATCCAAATGTTGATAAATCCTCCATTCATATTTATTGAGGCCAGGTGTTTGCGACCAGCCTGGCCAACATGGCAAAAACCCATCTCCATTAAAATACAAAAATTAGTTGGGTATGTTTGTGCATGCCTGTAATCCCAGCTACTTGGGTGGTGGAGGCAGGAAAATTACTTGAACCTGGGAGGCAGAGGTTGCAGTCAACCAAGATGACACAACTACACTCCAGCCTGGGCAACAGAGCAAGACTCTGTCTCAAAAATAGAATAAGATAAAATAAAGTGTCACAGCATATTGCTTCTGGACTATGCTATCATCCACGAAAAGATTAGGCTGAAATTAACCTGTGAAACTTAGCTTCACATTTGTTATAAACCTTAAGGCAGAAAAGATGTGTTAATCATTGTAAGAAACAACTTATAAAAACAATCCAGTACTCCTCCCTACATTACACTCATAGAAACAGAAATTTTAAGAAAAAAACAACACTGAAAAGTCACGTCTTAGTTAAACTACCTTAGAATCTTGACATGGATCAAAATCAAAAGATGGTCCCTAAGCATCAATGAGAAAGAAATATTCCAGGATTGATGTCCATCTGTACATACAGAGTGGAATATTCCTGGTGCTTGGTTTGTTCAGTCTCTTGACAGAAATTCTTATTTAAGTAGTCAGATTTCCAGATGTAGTAAGCATAGTTTGATGAGAAAAATTATCTTTGCAGATGATGTTGACTTTGTTCTTGCATCAGTAATGATCAGATTCTGTGAGGTCAATTCTGAATTCGGTACCTATTAAAAGGCCTCTGAAGGGGAAGGTTCTAGAAGCCTCTCTCCCTCTCCCCAGAGTGTCCTGCTGAGTCTTCAACAGATCATCAGCCTGCAAAGGATCCCTCATTATATAGTGAAGTATTAGTACAATTTAAAATTCGCATGAACTGTCTGTCAAGAACCCCAGCTGGCTTTTTTTTTTTCTTTTTCCACATCTGTTTCCCTACTTCCATGTACAGAAAACTGGAAATGTCTGTCACAGGACCAGAGTTTTCTTCACTCTGCCTGAGTAAAAGCAACAGATTTGGCCAATCTGTGGCTCTCGTCTTTTGCACAGCACATAGGCAATGCTCTCTTGGTTTC